CTTTTGAACTCATGGTTTTTCCTACCTTTTGCTACTACTAACTCTACCTTAAAATTTTGAGTGGGTCTATCTTTATATTTACTGATTGATTCCTCATTGGTTCTTCTTCATTATTTAATCAATAATAAATCACTTCATGATTGTAGAAGGCTAATAATAAGGAAATAGAGTTGACCAGCCTAAGTCAGAAAGGTCCAGCCATGTTGCTGGAGAGTAGAACTGAACGTATGTCTAATGACAGAGCATCTTTAAGTCAGTAAAGGGTAGAGTCACTCTGATGTGAAATCAGCCAACCTTTGTTCTCTTAGTATACCTGGGAAAATCTACAGAGTAAACTACTCTGGAATATAAACATATCATTATATTAAGTCAGAGATATTTGGTATAAATAATTAATACCTAATATAGGTTATTCATTTATTTATTTATTTGATTTGATTTGATTTGATTTGATTTGTGTGCTGCCCATCTCCCCCAGAGGGTGACTCTGAGCGGCTCACAATTAGAGTAAAACCAGAAAACAATTTAAAAAATAAATACCCACATTAATTAATAAAAGTCAGACTATATAAAAAAATAGGTTGCACTATTATAATAATTTCTCCAATATTTCAATGTGTGGAGTCCCAAAACTTTTTTATTACATGTCAATATAACTGCAAAATAGTTCACTATAAGTCCCATTTTACAAGACAGGATGTAAAAAGGAAGACTTACCATGAAACCTGCCAATGAGCCATGGTTGAATAAACTTTTGGCCCATTATCTGTCTTGTTCAAATCTAACTTGCCATCTGTATCAATCTTCAGAAAAGGTGCAGGGCTGTAGAAACCATCAACTCTGTAACTTGCTTATAAGTATTTCTTAACCATTAACTGCTCTTGTATCCTTGTTTATTTGTCCAGCATAGTCATATATTCTCAAAATGTGTAGCTTCATGCACATAATACATTTTTAGGACAACCAGGCAATGATATGAACATGACAGTATCAAAATATGTAGGCCTCTAGAATGGATATGTGGCATACTAAAGTAATTGAATGTAAATTAAATGAACTGTCTAATAAAGAGAGATTAAAGTAAAATGCTTTAAAAGTATATAATGTAAATATAAATTATTATTTATAATATATTGAATAGACTAGGTTCTTTTTGAAATTAATGAACATCAAATTGCAGTAGTAAATTACAAAAAGCCAAACTACAGAAAAATAACAGCTGATGCCATTTCTATAGTAATCTTTGGTATTATGATTGAAAAGATTAATTGATTTTAACATCTTGTTAAAATGCTTATTTTAAAAATATGGCAACAGCATCTAGAAAACATTAGCAATTAAATGGAATAACTAGTGATGTAGATTGCAGAATAATTTGCTTTCATATTACCAGAGTAACTGTACTTGAGTATTGGTTTATAAATGAGTAAAGGTTCATTAAAAAAACCTTATGATTCAGGGCCAGTAATTAAATTACAATGCATAAATAAGGTGCAGAAAGAACATTTCCAGAGGATTATAAATGAGGCTGTGATTGGAGCAGAAAGGCATTTAATGGTAACCCCATATGCTCCAAGAATTATCAGAACAATGTGTTACGTAATAACATTAAGAAAAATTGATCTCCGTAATAAGCATAGGGCATGCCATCTTTTCTTTCTTTACAACTTAGATGGTATTAAACCAGGAGATCTTATTTTGTAATAGTCTTCCTCATTTTTAAAATAAAAGACTTAAAATATACTCCTTTTTCTTGCTTTCAGAATGTGAAAGTAGTGTTGTGAGGAAGAAGCAGACTTACACTGCTTTCAGGGAAAAACTGTTTGTACAAACAAATGTTATGGGCATATAACAGATGCAGATTCTCATCTCATCTCCATGATCTCTGGCAATGCTGATGCTTTGTTTGTAGTATTTCATTAATTCCAGTATATCATAAACAGTTATGTTATATTGGGTGTGGAAGAGATAAATGCTTATAGCTATTTAAAACCTACTACTATCCGCCAAAGTTCTCTACAGGAAGTACTGGTCTGTCAAAAATACATTTACTGATCCAACTCACTGAAGTCTTTAGCTAGTTCTGCATAAAGAAGTCTTTTTCAGATCCTCCTCAGTTTATTATATTACAAAATTTACCATTCTTCCTTAGCTTTGGTCTGTACATAATGCCATAATTTAACAAGGGAATTTACGGACTGACTTTTTTTTTTTTTTGCTTGACCACACGCACATGAAAAATCACTCAGTTCAAGGATAGAAGATATCACTCTATCCTGTGGTACAGAATGGAATGTGTATCTCTGCAGGAATTTCTGGTGGCCTCATATTTCATTGCTTACAAAATGCATCTTATTAACCATGAGTCTCCATTTCGGGACTACCATGGTAATATTCCTTGGAAAAACATTGGAAGATGTTGTTAATAAAGGCACTTCATCTCAGCGCTCCTCAAACCTGGGAGGACCTCTATAATGTTGGCTCATTAGTGCCCAACAACTCCAATCTGAAGATTGTATTTATAAGAAACCTGACTCTTATATTGATAGGAAAACATCATGCCATTTAATATTGGAAATCCAGCATGTGTCTGAAATAGTTTTCAGGCACAGGTTTAGCACTTCAGTGGGAATTAAACCTAGAGCCTTTCAAGCAGAATTCAAAGATAAGTCAACTATATGAGTTTGACACATGAGTTTAGACACAGTCTGATTTCTTTTTAATTCTTACATGCTTAAATACTAAGTATTTCTCTCACTCCTTGGGCATATTTAAGGGAAAAGTTTAGCTTACATATCTCTCCTTGAGAGCATCGACATATCCCTATCATAGTTTATACAAGTTCTAGAAGCTTGATAATTGTTTTGGGGGGAAGAATCTTACTTCAATATGTCTCTTTATTGGGAGGATGATTGAGAACTTGCTTCTGAAAAAAAGGTGACCCTAAATTTAAGATTATCCCTTCCCAGAAGGAAGAGTAGAGAGAAAATAAATTCTGTAGAATACCCAACATTCCCACTTTGTCAGTTTCTGTTTGCCAACTCCATCCAATTCTAAGGATTTCTCTACCAGTAAGTGGATGCATATAACATATGCATATCAGTGTATGCTCATATAGGTATGTATGCTGAAAGCCACTCTTAAAAAAAGGCTAGGACAAAAACTAATTAACTAATAGTCTATAAAAGTGCCTCATTTTTCAAATTAACTGATCCCGTATCTGCATGTACAACCATTTTTCTTTCATGTTTTCCTACACGTAAGTACACAAAAGGACATTCTCTCTCCCTTCTAGCAGGGAAAAAAGAAAAGAAGAAGAAGAAGAAGAAAAAAAACCCAGGATGGCTAGAGATGGGGAAGAGAAAAGGGTAGCTGCACTAGGAAGGAAAGGAAAGAGAAAGGAGAATTGAATTTGATGGAAATGCTCCAGAGCTTTTCCAGGACTATTCATTGCAGTTATTTCTATACACTGGATGGAACTGGAGACTGTTGCTCAAGCAAAAATGTTCCAAATCATGTGAAACTTTACATTTTGTTGCAGTGTTGCATGATCAGTATATTCAGCCTGAGCATGGCCTGTGCTGGTATGAAATGTGTATTCATCTGTTAATTCTTCCATTAACCAGATAGAGATGTGAAGTCTTTCTTTCCCATTTAATCAATGGGACTAATGCAAACACACAGTTTACACTTGAATATTATTCAGGTAAGTGCCCAGATATATAATACCACTAATGTCTGCAATATTAGAATGAAATATGTAATTACTAAATACATTTGTTCACAACCAGAAGGATATAGTTAAACCTATTACATGCTGTGGGAGTACTTTGAATGTTGACTGCCCATGTGTATAACTTTTCTATGAATTTTAATAGGTAACTTTAAAAAATCCCTCTAACATGAAGTTATCTCAAGTATTACTTGTCACCTTGGGAACTTAATTGTTTCTGTTTTCAGGAAGATATCCAACACTTGGCTAAGCACTGGATGGTTTACAATGAGTATTGCTTTAGAGCTGTGTGACAGGATAGACGTCTATGGAATGGTACCACCAGATTTCTGCAGGTAACTATTTATCTGGATTTATACTTAGATTGCAAAATTCAGTCTTATGGATTATGTATACACATACACACATGTCCTTATACTATTCAGAAAGTATATGTAGGGTGTTCCTGAAGCTCTTCATTACCATGTCCTGTGATTGAGTTTTGAAAACAACGAACAGCATTTAATTACATTTCATAAATTATTAAAAGTTTTTGTTTGTATTATGAGGGATTAGTTGACATCTTGTTAGTTTCCCTTCATCTTTGAATATTTATTAGCTAAACATAATGCTATAGAATACATGAAATTAATTTCTGGAGAAAAAACATTTGAAAATATTAATTTAAATGATTTTTTTGAACAGATTCTTCTGAAAAAATAATCTAAATCAAGATTGTGTGGGCATGCATACAAACATATACAATTACTGGGATGTTTCATTTATTGTTCATCACCTGTGTGTGTGGTTTGCTAAGTTATGATAGTTCATGCAACTAAGCATATTTGAGTGAAGAGGACAATTATGTTCTTTAATGTGGGGATCCATTCTCAAACATTTATGATTTACAAATTTTAATTTTCACCATAAAACCTCTGAGTGGAACAGACATGGCTTCAGCATTGTAATTGCCAACAATATGGCTGTACACAAAACTGAAAACATGCTTTCTTTTAAGTTTGAGTGGCTTTGTCTTATTTCAAATGTACTGTTCCACAACTTCTGTATTCTGTTAGAAAAGAACTCAGAATGTTTCAAGTGTTTTGGCTATAGACCCTGGAACTTAGGGCCAGCGGCTGCTCCCTTATTCTTTGTTCTAGGGCTATGAGAGGAGATAGAGTGATAGTCCATGCAAACTGCTACTAAAATTACACAACATTGGAGATTACTTTTAAAATATTTTGGGAAACATTAAAATAAATCCATGTAAAAAACAACAGGAACACAGCACTCCTAAAATCCACTAAAATATTTATTTATATTATAATATGTTTTTGGGGGAAAAACCCTACTTGCACTTGCCTACTTATCTGAACAGAAAGAACAGAGGCCTTTTCAATTTCTTTAAATAAACTTTTTGCAACGGTCAAACAGTAGATTATAATACCAAAAGGCAATAGGTTACAAGACCAAAAAGCTAGATAATCTCTTTAACATTCCTTTCAGATACCACATTTCTTTCTATAAGGTATTCTTAATTTTTGAATCTTGGCTAATTTTTCTGGAGGCATTGACACCCACTTATTTAGCAGGCAGTGGATTTGTTGTGTGTTTTGTTTTAGCTCCCTTGTCATGCACAAGCCCAGAAAAAGCTACTCACTGTTTTATTGATATAAGTAGCCCCCGGGGTGAAGAATGGCCGAGTTACAGCCAACCCATAGTTAATACAAAAGCAGTCTTAAATAAATAATAAATTCCAAGAATTGATGGAATTGGCGAGTAGCTCAGGGAGTGTCATCAGGGCGCCAGTCACCCCCAGGATTGATTAGAGCTCTTATCGCCCCACGCAAGCTGGCAGAACCAGGTCTTTAGCCCTTTCTGGATAGCCGGGAGCGTAGTTGCCTGCCACACCTCTGGAGGGGAAAATATTCCAAAGGGTGGGGGCAATGGCAGAGAAGGCTCAGAAAGTTGTCTGAAACTTTCAGCTCATAGGAACAAACATGGCAACTGCCTTGGTCATATCCTCATTCCAGAGATCAACCAAGTCTTTGAAGGATCACCAGCTCTTAATAGGTGAAAAGTCCATACATTGTTCAGGAATCTTGCAGTATTATCTAGTTTTTGAAGGCAGACCATTTTAATACATCCCAAGACTTGGAGAGAACCCAATCTGTATTTTAGCACACAGTAATGGAACAATAGAGCTGTTCCGGATTCCCCTACCTACAGATTAGTTTCCATTCTGACTAGCAAAACCTGCAGTAACCATTAAACTATGAGGTGCTCTTTAAGGGGGCTTGGCACAAAAGTTAAAATTAAAGCCACCTCTGACAGCTTGGACGGAACATAGTTGGGCTGCAGTGCAGTGTAACATTATGTAGTAGTATCCAAATCCTATCCTGATGTCCCCTGATTGTTAAGGTATCATATTAGAGGAATGGATTTATGATATCATTCCATCTCCCTGCCCATCAGAATTTGCCTGCTTCTATTCCTGAAAATGCTTGTAGACTGTTTATGCTTGTACTATAGCATTAAATTCCAGAGCTTAAAGTTCTTCTCAGTTAACTGATCTGCCATTAAATAGCAGCATCATATAGGTTTCCTCTAGAAGAGGTGAATATCCTTTTGTTCTACCCAAAACAAACATTGTAATATATGTATAATACAGACTATTTTACAGTGCCACTTCGGGAAACTAATGTATTTTACATAGTTGCATCTCTAAATGTATTACTGCTGTAATATTAATAAGCATGTTAATTCTGATAAAATACTGATTAATGTCCAGTATCACAGAGTAGTAAAATAGCACCTGTTTTAATATTAATAAACAAGTATGGGGATGACTTTCAGCCTTCTCACATAAATTGTTCATTCATTTAATCTGCTAGCATAAAAATTTAATTGCTGAGTGGGGAGTTAGCATACAATCTTAATCTGGGGTATTCAAACTAGAAAGATGAAATTCATAAACTTATCCCAACTCTTTTTGATGATGTTTAGGACTGGAATTATCATCTGGTCCAAAAGACACAGATACCAGTGTAGTTGTTCTCCCAAGATTTGAAGATGAGCGAGGGTGGGTTCCTTTGGATTAATAAGAGCTGTCCCGATCATAGCATTTTCCTAGCAGAATGTGCTTTCTGTGTAACAGAAGTAACTTCTGGGTACCCTGAAGGGGAATAGCGGCACATTTATTACTCAAAGAATGGATAATCTAGATAAGAAGGAGCAATGTTCATTCCCTTCCATCAGCCACCACACTTAGTGGAACCAAACATTATAAGCTTATGGGTTCACAGTACTCTGTTTTCTTCCTGCGAATGTATACTTCAAAGTAAAATTCATTATATGATTGTGCTGCACTATGCATTTTTTCACCATGGAAAAATTGACTTATTATTAGCAGGGATAGGGAAAGCCAGAGTGCAATATTACACTGTACTTTTTAACGGATAGTATCGAGATAAATGTGCGGGGCAAAAAAAGCATGAAGCTGCTCCATTTCTTCTTGTAATATTTAGTTCTGTCCAGGCATGTAGGATTGGTTGTAAATTGTGCCAGAAACCACTAGTGCTGCAATCCATCCATCTAAAGCTTTCCTAGTTCAGAACATCTGCCTTCATATTTAGAGATATGTGATAGCATTAAAGCTAGTTATATGAAGCTTATAACATTAAGAACCTTGTCAGGCATTATACAACCTGGAGGAAGTGCTCCAGGGAAACTGCCCCCACCTGCCAGAGATGCACAGATGATCTCTGCAAAATGGGTTTGTGCATTTAATTTTGTGTGCAATGGCTTTTGTGTGACTGTACAGGTGCCTTGTGCTATGAGAGTACAGGCACAATCACTCTTAAATTAAGATCCTTTGTCAGCTAACACATTTATACTACCAGATTGATTTTTGCTTTGTCTTTTATTAAATTGGACACATCTTTGTAAAATGGATCAAACTGTATCAACAGTACAGACCTAAAGAGGAGAAATAATCAGAGTAGTGAGCGTGCAGGGCACTTAGCATTTTCACTGTTTCTTGGAATTTAGATGCAGATACTGTCTGAGATGATACAATTGATTAAAAAAATTAGGAATTCATTACCAAAATTAGCAGTATTGAGGATGAAGCTCCTATATACTGTATACTAAGTTACTCATACCCTGGAGAACAGTCTAGTTGGGCGGGGTTAAGACTTTTTCCAACCTTGCGATTGGTTGCGGTTATTAAATAAAATTATTGTCCTTGCAAATTACTTAGGGTCGCAGTGTCAGTTTAAAACAAAACCACCCCCCCCAAAAAAAAGTGACAATGCCAAATTGACAGTTCTAGGTGTGCGTCTATCCAGGTTGCTGTGCTGGCTGGATCAAAAGGCTGAGATCCTGTTACTTATTTCCCAAGCTGCTCATCTCTCTGAATGCACCTCAGGTTATCTCTCTACACAAGCTAGATACACTTCAGTATAGTCAGCCATTTGGTTCTGGAGTGGTTATATTTTAATTAGCTCAGATAAAACATTTCAATGTTTACAATATTGTTTTAGCATGTAGTCTTCTGGGAAATAAGGTGGATGGGGGAAACGGACTTCCTGAACCTTTTGGCTTATTAAGGACAGCATCACTTTGCAACCACATCCCACTGTTTACTCTCTTTTTCTGCAGGGATAACAATCATCCTTCAGTACCTTATCATTATTATGAACCTCTGGGACCCGATGAATGTACAATGTACATTTCACATGAACGGGGAAGAAAAGGGAGCCATCATCGTTTTATCACAGAGAAACGAGTCTTTGAGAATTGGGCCCGGACTTTCAATATTCATTTTTTTCAGCCAGACTGGAAACCAGAAGCACTTCCTGTCAATCATGCAAAGATTAAACTAGTATTCTGAGGAATGAATGCACAAGGCTGTAATCACAATCACCTACTGTATCAGGTTTCAGAGGATTGAACATCATATCACAGCAAGCCAACCTGAAAGAAGTAAGGTTAACAGGGCTTGCGGATAAAAACAAAAAACAAAACCTGCTACAATATTCAGGAAGTTGTTACAAAGGAATACCTAAAAGGGTGCTTGGTATTCAGTATACAATTAAGCAACTATTTTAATTTCTGTCTATTGCATATGTATATGTGATTTGTTAAAAAGGGAAGGAGACAACACCTATGGTATTAATGAACATAATTCAGGAGATGTGTGATTCATTATGTTTTTAAGGCACATTGCCACTGGGTTTTCATAGTGACATTTAACAGTTACGTAGTGGAAGTTTTTAATGCAATCCAGTATTTTTCTATTTCACAATGATATGGTTATTTATCTTTCATAATCGCTCAAATACTGAGGATTTATATTGCTGCTGGTTTAATGCCCAGCTTCTTGTTTATACATTTTCTCTTTGAACTATAGGATAATTCTATCTGGCATGTAATTAATATTTGATCTGGAAGTTATGTATTTTTTTTAATTTTGTATTCTTAGGCAGTGTTCCAGTATCAAGCCATTTTGATAGCAAGCACATCCTTATGGGGAGCTCCAGCTGAGAGTGATGGTTACAGCTATAATATGTGACATTAGATATACAATTAAGAGTTATAAGGAAAGACTTTCCATAGCTGATTATTTTTGGTCTTTTGGTATTGCTAAAAAATAACCTGGAAGCCAGGTTTGATCCAAAAATAATTTAAGCAAATCTGATTCTCAGAAGTGTCTCAGAGGGTGGTCTCTCACATGCATTCTGAGCAATTAAATCCTTCAAAACTATACTAAGAAATGTTTGGATTACATTCTTAGGGATACTTACATAGGAATCCCATTCAATTCACTGGACTTTATCTCCAAGGAGATGTGGATAGAGATGCAGGATTAGATGCAGTTATTTGAGGATGACATGGAAAGATAGGATGGGATTGCAGTGGAATCAGGAAAGGCTGACTGATACCCCTCAAAAATGGCAAAGCCCAGTCATTTGTATATACTGGTTTATGTACGCAAGTAGCAGTGGAGAGAGGGCAGGCCAATGCGGAAGTGGATTTTGACCATAAATGAACATCCTGTATGTTTTGTGGAGTAGGAAACAGACCATACTATTCTGAAGTGCAGTGAATTATATGGATGTAACATTGGTCCTGTCTGACATCATGATAAAATGTGCTGGTTTCTTTCAGATGCCTCAGCAATATCCAGATCTAGCAAATGATATTGGATAGCACTAAATAGTTCTGTAAATGGATACTCGCTCATTATGTTTCTTCGTGGGATTATACCTAGCTTGTGAATAAAAAGCATTTCATTCACAGTGTTATTTGACCTTGCACATCACAGATCATTTAAGCCAAGTAACGTCTTCTAACTGTCAAGAATTACTTGGCCACTTGCACACTGCCATTCACTATTATTTCAAATAGTAAAATTATTCCATATTTTGATATTAGAGTTGTCATCAAAAGCTGGATTTATTTTAAGGTGTTACGCATGGGGGGGGGGAATATGTAGGAAGAGGGATTTGGAGGGATGTGAGTTTTATCAGTTTGAGAATTTATAAAACTTGTGTTGTGCTGCAGGATTTCCTTTTCAAGTTATAGAAAAAGAATAAATTCCCAAGTAAAACATTGACTGAGTTGTGAGAGGAAAAACACTTCCTTCTTTTTATTATGGTGGAAGTATTTCTCATAATTACATCTGTTCTTTACTATTGAATAAAATATTATGAATTGGTAAGAAATTGCACAATTTTACCAATATTTCATTTTTCTTTCCAAACACAGTTCGCTTGTCTGAAAGAATAGGGAACCCCATACCGTCATAAAGGAAAAATGAGTTGTAGATAAATGCATGTTGAGAGGGCTTCTTGCCCCATTTAATTTACACATTTCAGGATATCTGATTTACAAGCCATATCTACTTCACTGGAAAAAAAATTAATGCCAGACTACAGTGAGCAGGTGCCATTTAGGGCTTGAACTCCAGCAGCTGGATAACATTCATTGGGAGAATGTTAGCTATTTTATCATTAAATACAAGGTATTGTATGGTTGAAAGTTAAAACTGCCTGGCCTATGGCCTAGATAGAAAACATAGCTGTTACATGGTCCCAGATCATTTCCAGTTGTTATTCACTATTCCAGTCAATTTTTTTAACAATATTAAAATAATATCTCTTGTCTGAGAGTGCACAGAAAAGATCCTTTTTGAAAAACAGTAACTGCAGTGAGCAGCAGAGTTGTGTAGGGCTGCAAAGGGGAGGATATCTCATATTCAGGCTTCAGATCAAAAGGATCAGAAGAATTACCCTCTTGAAGGAGAATTCTTATATGCAATCCTGCTGCAAAAGTAGGGAGATGAATCACACTTTTTATTTATTTGCATGTGTTTGGAGTCTCCTTCAGGCCCATATAATCCCTTTCTGAGTCAGGGCATATTTATTTTTTGTACAAGAACCAAATACTAATGTGGGAATCCTGCGATAAGGATTTTCTGTGCAGCTTGCTTTATCAGGCAGCAGACTTACAGAGATTGGAAAATAGCATGTTAGGACAGCATGTATTGATGGCTCGGAGGGAAAAAAAGGCAACTACATTGATAGCAGGATTTTTTATTTATTTTTTACCATTGCATGAAAAGTAAAGATTTGTATTGGGAAGGCGGGAGGCACCAGAGGTGCTAAGCACACACTCCCGCAATGCTATTTCTTTTTATTTAAAGCAAAGCACATGCAAGTAATAAAAATGCTAATCATTGGCTCTCTGAGATCATGTCTAAGTTTTGCTCTAAGAGTCAGCTTTAAGCAAAAATGGGCAATTTATGATCTGAACAATAATACAACACACACAGCGTAGAAAAATTGAATGATGGTATTTGAAAGTGCTTACCTTTGCACATCTTTCATGTGAATGAAACTAACAGGATGGTAAGAATGCCTAAGGGTTTTGACTATGCTGACCAGAACATCTGGATGCCCCTCTTAAGAACAGAGGTATATTTGGTCACTCATCTGCCAACTGAAGAATTTGTATGATGACCAGGAAGCAACAGTTAAACAATATAATACAACTAAACAGTTCAAATTTAGGGAAGGAATATGACAAGGTTGTATACTGTCACCTTATTTATTTAACTTACATGCAAACCTTACAGTCAGAAATGTTGATGATAATGCTGGAAGCAATATGGACTTAAGGAATTTCTTGTTGCAAGTGAAAAAGCCTCTCTGTTGTTCATTTGAAAACAAAACAAAATCCACTGAGTTTATGTCAAGAGGCAATGACAACCCAATGCAAATGGGTGAAGAAGATGAAGTAGTAACAGCTTTTCTTTTCTCAAGTTCAGAATTCACTGTAGTGAAATAAAGAGATGTCTGCTGCTTGGAAAAGGGCCATGATAAATTTAGACAAAATACCAAAGTGTAGGCACATCATACAGGGGAAAAAAAAGATATGTATGGCCAAGTCCATGGTTTTCCAAGTTAAAACATATAACTGAAAGCTGGTCTATCAGGCTGAACAAAGAAAAACTGATGCCTTAGAATTGTGGTGCTGGAGAAATTTATTGATAATATCTTGGATAGGAAGAACAACAAATCACTCAGTCAAGTAAAACCAGAAGTAAAGCTAAACTGCTCATTGGAAGTGCTAATAATGAAGCTTAAATGTGTCCAATTGGAGACTAAAATTGGAGGCAATTGAAAAGGGTGACACAAGACATGGTGATTAGATACTACCACTGATGGCACAAGCATAATCTTGCAAAACCTCAAGCTGTTACTGACAGATAATCCTGCTGAAATTATGTCCATCAGGTCACGAAGAGTCAGAAGTAATGGCACACACAATTTCAGTTTAAACAACTAGTACAAACTTATTTCTGCATAAATGAATGCTCTTTGAGTATGTATCTGCACTTTTCATGACATGTTAAGGGGGAAAAATGAAGCTAGACGCTTCATTTTAGATGAGCAGTCAGATATGACAAGGGTCATATTGGAATGAATCTAGATTCCAAGCTTGATAAACAACTTGCAAATTCTCAAAAACTCCTGTTATAATTATGACCTAATTTTTCTGAAATGAGAGCAACTCTTAATACTGAAAATAAAAAAAGACGGTGATAATATTCAAACTTGCTGAGTACATTGTCATTTTATGTTTCTACTTGAACTTGGTTACAGTCGGACAGGAAATGTTATCCTTTCTAGAAACTCATCTAAGACTACAAAATTAGTTACAAAGTGCTGACTACTTCATAAGTGGGTTGAGAGGGAAAAAAGACACTTTCTAGGATGTGCTGTGTTGTTTTTCTCTTCAGTTTTGTTCAACAAACCATGATTAATACAGCCAATATAAATTTCCTAAGAGTAGACAACAGGGTTCTGTTAATGTAGTCCAGAATCACATTAATCTTACTTGTAACTATTGCCTTGTGCCTCTAAAGTCTTCTAAAGGTGTCTTTACCTGGAAGCATCAGCAAAGACAGTGAAATGTTACAGTCCAATTGCCTTCCATTCTTGGTGCAGAAAGAAATCTTATCTTCAAAGTTATTGAGCATGAATTGTGGCATTTTAATCTAATTGCTTTCCTACCTCTGTTAATAAGCCTTGCTGCTTTTTCAGTTTCATAAATTGCATTTACTTAACTGCTCCTTTCCCTAAGCAGATTATCTTGGCCTATATCTCTGTGCTCCTGTGTTCCCACAGAACCCCCTCCCCACCCTGCATACTGCTTTTACTCAGATGGACAGTTTTTAGGTTGAACAAGAAGTTTTGATGTTTCTCAGTGTGACTACTATCCATAAAACTATTACTAGATTTTAAAATATAGCAAATTGGGAAATAAAATAAAAAAAGTGAAGTAGACATCTGTGACGTATCTGGCTGAAGAGTGTTATGTTCAGGACTCTATACAAATTCCATACACAGATATAAATAGTGTTGTTGTTTTTTTAATATATTTACTTGCGCACACACATTTTTGGAAATATTCATATTTAAGCAGATTATTATTTTCTTAACTAATCTTCCTGGAGGTGAAGTGGAGTCATCATATAAACTTCAAAGTTGTCTTACAAAGTTTGGCTAAAGTATTGAATCTCAACAACAATCTGTTTACATATTATCAGGAAACAAAACTTGTCTCTACACTTTCAAATAACAGATTAATCATTGCTGTTGTAGTAGATAAGAGGAAGGTATTCTTATAAAAAATAGTCTTTTGTGGCAGGAGAAATATCTTTGGATCAAATTCAAATTTAGCAATATTGGTCTTCCTTTATCTACGTAAGTAATCCACAACCTCTCTTTGCCTCTAATTCATTCAACAGTATTATATAAATCCAAGTAACGATGTATGAAATGAAATCTGAAACACACAAAATGATTTCACTCAGCATACTTGTCAATTTTTTTGTGTTTATGAAACAGAACACCATCAGTGGAGAACTATACTACACTCACTATAATGGAGAACTTGTAGCAATGCATCTTAGATCTATGGCATCACATGCGTGCACATTACCCAGCTTTTGTGTCCTAGGCACAATTTGTAAAAACTGAATTTTTATAAATGTGACGTGTCCAATAAAATTTTATATGTGCAGGTTTGATTTAATACGATTCAATCAAAAGTATTTCCACCTATACTTTTCTCCATGGAGATACTACATCAGGAATTGTACACAAATATATAGCTCAGTCTAAAGCCATATTCAACATGTTTTATTCCCATGGGCTTTTGAAGGTAGTCTGGATCCCATATACCAGGCTAGTGGACTGTGGATGTGGAAAGTCTAAGTACATATTTGCTGAAGAACTGATGAGTTTGCTATTGGTTGTAAATTCGAATGAGTCATGGAATCTGAGAAATATAATGGCTGTAGGTAAAAGGTTTGATCTAAGGGGCTGAATTTAAACAGAGGAAATCAATATTCCTTTACAGTATTTTTGTTTCTGTCGAGCAGATATTCAATACTTACAGCAAAAATCTGCAAAGTGACTTAAGTATATATTGATAAGATGACATCTTAAATAAGGTTCAGCATATTGTCTAAACCTTTGTTTCAATGACAGGGGAACTATTTTTTATAAATAATAATAGAGACAACTATTTTTCAGTACAGCTCAGAAGATGTTTATTGATTTTAAAATATTTTAATAAAACGTCTAGAGTTTCCTCTGCATTCATCTATTCCCTCCCGCTGTTTGATTCAACCGTTCTTTTCTGCAACAGAGATTTTTGCCTGGCTATTGGCATGAAAATAAAAACTACTCATCTGCTGCTCTACATAATAAAAATGATAAACAATGTCAAGTTC